TGCACGGATGCCAGGAAATTCCAAAACTGTATATGGATACCACAATGCAATGCACGGATGCCATGATGTTCCAAGTCAATGCATGGATGCAATGCAGGGCCATGATGTGGGGTCAGAATAAATCCCATAATCCATGGATGCATGGATGCAATGCAGGGGCATGCTTCGGGGTCAGAATACATCCCACAATCCATGGATGCATGGATGCAATGCATGGATGCCAGGAGATTCCAATTCCATGTATGGATGATACAATTCACAGGTCCAATGCATGGATGCCATGATGTTCCAAGTCAATGCATGGATGCAATGCAGAGCTGCAATTTATCCCACAATTTATGGATGAAATGTATGGAAGCCATGCATGGCCATGACACAGAGCTATGACACATGGCTGCAATGCATGGATGCAACAATGCATGGATGCAATGCATGGATTCAATGCATGGATGTAATCCACGGATGCCACGCATGGAATCCGCGACTTACGGGCACAATGCACAATACACGGGCAAAATCTCGATGGAAAGTGTCGCCTCTGGATTTCCCAACTTCTGCAAAAACACGAGGAACCACCAGAAAAAAAGTCACCCCGGGGCACCGTTTTCCCGTGCTGCTGTGCAAATACTCAAATTCCAGGCTTTCGGAARCCAAAGGCGCTTCCATTTAGCCCAAAGCAAATATTTGGTGACAAGGGAGATGCTCTGCTCTCTGGGTGCCAGTGCAAATCTGGGGTAGGAAAAGGCTGAATTAGGTCAGAGTTAAAAGTCCATCCTCGCCATGTCACGTGGGAATTCATGTCCCTGCGGGCAGCGGGGTAAAAAGTTCTTTGGGAATATTCATCGTCAGAAATGAGAATTTCCTGGGGTCAGTGCTGGGGTGGAATCGCCGGCTTCGAGTGGGAATTCCCATCTGCAAATCCCTGTTAGTGCTTGGATTGTTTTATTTAACCCCGGTGAAGAGTGAGAATTGGTGTGAAGGATATTGAAGGGATGTGGTGCCCGCGGTATTTCTGTGCTTTTCCACRGCTGGACCTTCTGCTTCCAGCAGCGCTCCTTGCTGGCCCAGCCAGGCTGTTTCCGGCGGAAAAGCTTTTATTTATTTTAATTACACCGTGAAAACCTTTCCTGAAGTTTTTCTGAACCTGAGCCAGGAGAATCCAATTGCTGGCTCAGTTTTTTGGGGCTGGGCCAAAAACCGTGGGGTTGGCACGGGGGTGGCCATGGTGGGGTGCGCTCAGAGGTTTTGGGGGACACCCCAAATGTGACCCCATACTGTGTGGGTGGGAGGGATGAGGATGGGGATGGGATGGGATGGGATGGGATGGGATGGGATGGGATGGGATGGGA